TAATCTATACGATTGTTCTTATTTAAGAAGCATTAAATTAGATGGCTTCAATGAAATACTACTGTACAATTCGTAGAACAAAGAAAATTTGAAATGAATACAAATTTTTATTTTTATATGTTACCAGTGTTTGAACCCCACAAAGTATTATTTTGTTTTTATTATTAAATAAATAAAATAATTAATTACGCGAAAATTGTTAGAATTTCAAAAAATTTGCAAGAGAAAAACTTAAAAACTCCTGCCTTCATGATAAAATAAGAAATTATATTTGTAAAATCAACCATAAAAATGCAATTACTTTGGTTACCATGTCAAAATCTATAATCTATATCTACAAACAATGACAGACATAATTTCATTTAAATCGGACAGTGCTTTACGGTTATTTGGAACAAAAACTAAAATTGATTGACAACTTTTGGCGCCCCCTACTTGATGACCCTAGTATTAGAATACTCTACTCCATAAAGTCAAATATGAACATATTACATCTATTGTTTGCCTCATTTTATAAAAACAAATCCATACTTGATATACACATATGTATTTAAATTAATAAAAATATGTACAATAAATATATATGAACAAATGCTAAAAAATCACTTATTCATAAAAGATATTCAGTCCATTTTTTAATTTACAATAAATTGTGTCTATACAATTTAGGTACAATCTATAAGTTACTGGTGATGTCCAGGTGTGTTTCTTCATATGTGAGAAATATATTAAATCATAGTCTACAAAACTTCATTTTCATTTGATTTTGATTCTCTACTGTATCCAAGAATTAAGCACTTTATTTAGTACATATAAACAAAAGCTCGGATAGGTCGGTTCTTAATCATGCCTTGATGAAGAATGTATAATATATCGACTTTAAAGAACAGTTTCACTTCTGTGCGAGTTACACTTTGGAGTTCATTAAATGGCAAGAAATATCAAGCAATATCTAATTTGAAAGTACTTTGTTGGACAGAGATCAAAGGGACCATAAAAATTTGTCCTAATGGAAAATTTGAGACGTTTTCAGAAAATGGACAAAAAAGTTCATACTTCCATTTTAGATACCATTAAGACATAAATGAATACATTTAAAAAACAAAAAATCATAAAGCAACAAGTGGTTAACACTGGAATTTTCTGGAAGCCGATCTTGCATACCGACAGTTGAAATATGCAATTCCAATTTTATTGATTGATAACAAAGAATCACCGTAAAGAGTTAAGCATTGATTTTAATGGTAATATTGAGGAAAAAATATTGTAAAAAAACTGTCGGAACCAGCTAAAACTATCCGTTCAAAGATGTCTGTCTACATGAAGTGTCTATTAATGGAGGTGTTGCTGTATTAACATTACCTATTTAATGATGTAAAGAAATTGATATCTAGCCTGGTAATTTTTGAGATATTTGAAATAAATGTTATTATTTTTCGTACAAAACATAATTTTTATTCATTTTTATTATTCATGCAAAAAATATTTAAAATATTCTCCGTTTACAATTCGACAAAAATTAAATGTTTTGTATTCCTCCTCTAATCTTTTCTAGATTTTAATATCAAAGCAGACACAATGTCTGACGCAGTGCACTGCTGTAGAATCAAAACATACTGTACTTTCAATCCTCTAAAAAATTACAGGGGCTGGTAATATCACTCTAATTCTAAAAAATTTTTACCATACACAAATATTTAACAACATATAAAAATTATACAATGACTCAAAAAGTTTTCAACAAATGGAATAATTTTTTAATTATTCTTTTGGATTTTTTTCCTTCTAAGTTTTACTTGTCTGAATACCAGTGCAACCTAGATATACTGGGTTATTTTTTGTTTGGCCGAAAATAATTTTTTAATAACCCAAAGTTGAGAATAAAATTTTTCAAAAAATATTTAAAATTTTTTACTCAATTTTTATAGCATTAATTGTTTGCCAGAATTTAAATTTTTATACCAAAATAATATGATTAAAAAAAGGCGAAAAATATTGTAAATTTTTTTGTTCTTTTTTTAGAATACTACATTTATTTTTACTTTGGTTGGATCCTTATTATTCCAGTCAGAGTACCCAATTTTAATATTGTAAAAGGTATTAATAACTTTTTCAGCAAAGTTCCTAATAATTTGGAGGACTAGAAAGTATCTAGAAATGTCTTTTTCCTACAAACAAAACTAAACCATAAACATGATGACAATCGACATCAAATAAATATATAAAGTAGGGAGACAAATGTTGTAGAATTATGCCACAGTAATGAATTTACTTTTTAACTTGATGTCTAGCGACATCGCTCATAAATTTATTTCAAAATATCTCAAGAATTATTCAAATTTCATACTGGTAAATAAGTAATGTTAAATCCTTTCAAATTAACTGTCTCTAGATATCCTTTTGTTACTAAAAAAAAGAATGTACATGTATAGAAAAAACCGGGCCAACAATCACAAATATAAATTTTTCGAATAAAATAAAAGTAGGGGAAGGCGGGGTAAGACGGGGTAGTGGGCAAGACGGAGTACTAGGCTATTCACATGATTCGAATCAACCCATCACTCTAGCGCCGAACTACTCGCCGCCATGACAGCTCTCAACCGTGTGAGGACCAACACAACCTAGTCAATTATTGTTATTGCAAAAAAAGTTAATTAGCTTGTTTGGACTAAAGTTTCTTCAATATAAGTTTGCACTGCAACAGTATTAGAACTTGTGAGTTTTCTGCAGCCTTTAGGCGAATCACATCAACAAAATACTGTAGTAAAAGGTAAAAACATGTTTTTCTATAAAATGTTCCTTATATTCCGTAAATTTTATATTTAATTTTAAATTCCAAAACTGATCAACGGCAAGATGGGGTATTGAATATCTCACAGTGCTTTCAATTTTATACCTATTTTGTTGTTATTTATGAATGGTAAATAATTATAAAAGAAAACCGGAGAAAGGGAAGTGGTCTGAAGAGGCAATGAAACAGGCGGTAGAATCTGTTTTAGAGGGAAAAATTGGATACATGTTACCTGCTAAGTCATTTTCAGTCCCACAAATCACATTGGAGAGAAAAGTAAAAAGCCTCGTGAAAACAGTAATGAAATAGAGAACTCGAAGATATAATTGTGGCCCAGACTACCCATATTTTCACAAAAAGAATATGAGTGTACCCCATCTTGTCCAATAGTTCGGGTAAGATGATCTAGTTTTCTATATATTGTTATTTAATCACCAGTACAATAGTTAGATGTTCCTGATTTCATGTAATTATTCAAGACTGATAATGAAATGACTGAATAAGAATAAAAACGATTCTAAAACTAGTAAACCCTATGAATAATTGGGCTTTAATCATTAACTGATCCATCTTACCCGGCCTTCCCCTACCCACATTTAATTTAATAATGCAAAAAAGTTTAATTTTTTCATTAGAAGTGACATAATGTAATTTGTTTACTTTACGAAATTGTGGATTACGTAATGTTTAAGTTCATTTAAAATATATATTTAGCTACTTGGTGCCATAAGAAAATAAAGCCAATCATAAGAACTTGAAGTGTAGCAATATCCCGACTAACATTCAGCAAATTAAAAATAAATTTTATTTTGGTTTTCAGTTATTTTTATACTATAATATGAATATGTTCACAGAACTTTTCTCTCAGAACAGAACTCTGTTTTTTTTTTAAGTTATTAGTTCTATCTGCCATTAAACAATTTTCAGCAGTAAGAGGTTCAAGAATATTATACATTTTTCATAAAGTCAACAAAAATTCAGCTATAATTGAGTTTATAATATAAGACTTTCTTACTGTTCAGAAAAAAATTATATATTGAATTAACATTAATTTAGATTGTGTTAAATAAGGTCTTACCATATATTGAAAGTCGAGTGATGAAATAGATCGATAAGTAATCACTTGCAAATATATACTTGCCAGCATTCATAGTGAAGCAAATAATAAGTAGAAACTCATGGTGGATACAGAGTACTAGCTTTTTCTATATTCTAAATAGGTTCTGAGAGTCTTTTGTTCTTTTTAGCTTAGAGCCTATAAAACCTAAATCAAGAACTGAAGATACCATATATATATATATAACTATCCAGCAGTGGCGGCTCGCCAGGTGACGCAAGTGACGCACCGCTTCACCTAAAATTCCGTTTGGTTGTGCAATTTAAAATTATTTTTAATTTTATATAAATTTTATTATTTAGGTACAATTCTGTATTGGAAATGTACTGTGTTTGTTTGTTTTATACTCAGAAATGAACAGAATAGTTGCGCGGTGACGCCTTCTAAAAAAACATTGCTTTCGTTGAGCGCGAACATCAACCTCGGACCATACAACGTATAGTAAATATATGCAAGTGACGCAGATTTAAATCAGTTTATACCTGCTTCTCTTCGTAGCGTTGTTTGCGGCGGTTGTCATGGCAACGAGGCAGCCAACGCATGTGTAAACTACGGCGTGGGAGAACAAGTGATACAGAAATTGAAGCAGCATTCTGTATTTTATTGGAAATGCCATTTTCCAGATGGAAAATTGAGGACTAAAAAGATTTTTTAAATTGCGAGAGACCTGTGCCTTCTCTCGATGTGGAAAAAAGGAGGTAGTCAAAAGACAAAGTGTATGTGCGGAAGTTTCGGAATGAATGGTATTCGGAGTAATTTTAATGGTTGTATGGATGTGTTTATTTAAAAAAAAATTTTTTGTATGCCGTGTTTAATTGCGTGAGTGTAAAGTCGGGCGTGTGGAATAAGGAGGGATTTAACAATTTTGAGAACGTCATGCGAGACTGTCGTAATCACGAAGCTTCTTTGAAACATACATATACAGTGTGCGTTAATGTTTGCAAGTCAAATTAATATTCCTATTTTTTATAAAATCTAAATGAAAATCCTTCTCGCGAACGTCAGTTTTTCGGTAATATTGTAAATGCAACTAAAAATTTCTAGATTGATTTAAATCCGTTTGACCTTGAAATTTAAAAATTTTTGCCTGCGGCGCTTTTTTATTTCTATATAGTCAATGAATAAAGATGCTTCACCTATTCTCAATGTCACGAGCTGCCACTGCTATCCAGTACATAACAAAATGCAAGATTCTATTTCTAACATACATCCTGAGTTTCACCAGTTTAGTAACCTGACATTGCATGAAGACATACTGTACATTTGTATAGAAAATTTCTTTGATGTAAATTGTCCGTCACAATATTCATTAGAAAATTTTAATTAAAATGGAATTTAAATTGGAAAGGACTGCCATGGAAAGACTGGAAATGATGAAAGTTTGGCATTCCTCCTCTACCTGACTCGGGGTCCAAGGGATCTTCACCATTATCATATTGTTTTCTTTTCTCATCATCAGTTAAAACCTGTAAAATATTATCGCTTTATATCGAATACTTATGACTACATTATTACAATGTTATTCCGGCTTTACACATGCATGTACAAATATTCAATATTTTAGTCAATTTAACGCATGTGTGATTGAGAAGTTCATATCTGTTGGCAAGTGTTTGACACATTTGGAAACACGAATGTTTTGCACATCAAAGGACCTGAATAATTTCTTTAATTCTGATATTATCAATAATCAGTTTCTATAGCCTGTTTTGAAACAGTATGGAATAATGTTTAGTTGAGGTTATGGAAGATGCTGTCACTAAGAACCCCAGAATTTTGGTGCCTTGAATATTTGATTATATATTAAAGGAAAAATATTTCTTCTATTTTATTTGAAAAACGAGTCACTTTTGAGTTATCATTTATTTTTAATCTAACAAACTACACAATTGAATAAATCCAAAATACTGTTTCATGGCAAGCATACGATAATAACAGTCTAAACTGTTTATGGTCGTAGCTGTACCACACTGAGGGGGTTATATTTTAGTAGGCATAGACTTTTATGTATAAGTAAGTTATTACTTATTTTCAGCCAAAGAACTTCTAACATCTACATATTTCCCAGAAATTATCTTTTAATGAACTGGTCTGTACATACATTTTCTCTAGGTTTTTTAAAGTTATATAATACATTTAAATTAGCTTAATGACTTTTATTAATATAACAATTTTCTGGTATGAAGTTAAGGGTAAAAGCCACCAAGCAAGCTTATCGACAATTCCCTACCATTAAAACGAAAATATTCAATGTTATTTAAACATCAAACGAACTACACACTCACATGTATTAATCTCATTAATAATAGAATAACTAATAGAATAATAGAATAACTATAGACTGATTTGAAAATTAAAATTCCTAGTTTGACTGAGTACTGCAACCGTTCTCATTTTGCCACAAAATGGCAGCTTGCCAAATGTTAGTTTGTGTTGACATTTCTAAATGGCGGATTATTGCGGTACTTCTAGGAACTTCTTTGGAAATGAATGTCCCTGGATTAATAAAGTACTATAATCACCCGCCATTTTGGCCATTCCACATTAATAATAATCTATCCAATTACTAGACACACAGCAGTAACCATGACTATAATACCCGTCTTAAGAGTAATTTGAAACCACTGCACACGAGACTCTATAAAACCAGAGAAGGGATTAACTATTAATGTATCAAGTTCTATAATATCTTGTCTGTTCACACTTTTCGCTATAATGACACTGCTTTTAAATATAATTTGAAAAAGTTTTTAGTTAAAGTAGCTTTCTGGAATTTACAGAATACAGGAATCATAATTTTAATGACCCAATTTAATACTTTTATTTATTAATTTATTTATATGATATGTACTTTTACCTTGTATTTTATATTTATGCATATGTTTTTATTTTACCTTTATGACTTGGGTAAGCATTTTATTATGTATTGGCAGACAATGGTCAGAATTTTTTAAATTTAAGTTACATTTTATACATCTATATAATTTTATTTAATATATTCATCAATATAAATTTCTTTATTTTTTTTGTACCCAAAGTAGTCAAACCATCTCATTTGACTACCTTGATGAAATAAATTTCAGTTTAAATAGTGTAACAACTGAAATAAAGAAAATTTAGAAGGTATCCAATTTAAATATCAAGTGACATTATATGTTTAAATCAACCATAAGGTTTTATTATTATTATTTTATTTAGTTATTCTGATTTTTTTGTACTTTTTAAAATAATCCGTTCAAATTATAAGTATAATCAACACAATTTTTGAATTGACAAAATCTATGATTTATCTATCATTCAAAATATTCTACAGGTTGATAATAGTATTTTAGGGAATATGATTTTATTTTTATTTGTGATAGAATGGAATTTTACTTTTATTTGTATGGTTTTTATTTATTTTTTATTGTTTTTTATTTTTATCGGAATAAAGTTATTACAGTACGTACACACATGGACGTTTATTTTTAATTTATTTTATTTTTGGAATTTCTAGAAGAGGGGCCTTTTATGTACTTTGCCCAGAGAACCCTTGCTAGGCCATTGATTATGCCAAATTAAATACCTAAATATTTTTTAAATCTTGCACGAAATATAAAATCTACTTTCGTGTATTATCAGTTTGTCTTCCAATGCGGATGGAACTGAGAATATATTAAGAAATAAATAAAACTACTTACCTCTTTCGCTGCAGCAATATCTATAAATTTTTTTTCTGCAATTTTCTTCATTTTTTCATCATTTTGATAGTTGTCAGGATGCCACTTTTGAGCCATCTTTCTATAAGCTTTTGTAATTTCTTTTTTTGATGCTGATCTTTTAACATCTAGAATTTTATAATAATCTCTCCTTTCTGATTGTTTTTGTCTATTTTCAGCCTTATTCAAACCTTCTTTCGCTCTCTCAAAATGGGAGTCTATCTCCAAAGCTGATTTATAATCTCGAATAGCATCATCATACATCTCCGACTGTAAGTAAGCCTCTGCTCTATCACAATAAATATTTGGGTCATCATTAATTGCTAACGCTTCAGTACAAACAGAAATTGCTTCTTCCGATTGTTCATCATTTGAATAACATGAGCATAACAATCTTTTAGCTTCATAAATAATATTAGTTATATCCCTTTCATTCTTCAATACTTTCTTGGCCGAGTCTATACAATCAGCGTAATTTTTATTTTCTAAGGCAGTTTCGGCTTCAACTAAAAATTTTTCAATTTTTTTAATCCTTTTATAAAAAGGGAAACAATCCTTGTGTTCAGGGTCTAATTTAAGACACTCCCGAACAGATTTTAAAGCTTCTGTGGCCTGACCTGATTTATATAAGAGTTTTGCAAGTTTAAAGAAACCATCAACATTGTCACTTTGAAGCTTTGTAGTCGACTTAATATCAGTTATTGCAGACATTTCATCTCCATTTAACATATGTAATTCCGCACGAAAATCATAGAGTTCGGCAGCCCATGGGCTTACCTCTAATACTTCAGATAAATAATGGATTGCAGTTGGGTAATCATTATGACCATAATAATATTCAGCACTACGTTTTCTTTCCTTGGCAGGATCAATTTTTTGGATCAACTCATTTGCATCAACATTATAAGGATCCACTTTTATCTAAAAATATAGGAAGTTTATCAAATAAATATTAATGTATGGTTTCCTAAATATTAGTGCAAAGAAATATGTGCCTACATATATACCGGATGTTCCAAAAATAGTTAACAGGCACATAAGGTAGAAAGAGGGTGGAATTCCAAGACGAAAAGTCCTTTGGCATTTTTTTGTCTGACACACCCTTATTAGTTAGGAATTAAATAAGGTCCCAATCAGGAGCACGCTTTAAGGTAATGCCGAGCAGTAGGAAAAACATGGAATAATCAGTAAAGAGGCGAGCGGAATATCGGGGCAGTGGTCTTGCCCCATCAGGGTTTCAATTCCGCAGAAACAGGGAATAACTTCAATTATTTATTTTATTAGAAAAAAAAATTCTAAATTTCTATTAAAAAAAATTAAAAATGTTACGAATTTTGCATTTTGTAAATTTTCGAGCCATCATTCGAAATTCGGGCTTCTGACTTTTTTTTTGTAAAAAAATAAATAACGATTTCACGTATTTTTACCCAATTTTTTTTCATTGAATATTTCCTCATTTTACTCGTGGACCAGGCTTTCACAATTTCTTACTGAATTCATATAAAAAAAATTATAATTATAATGCAGTGTTCTCTCTCTAGGTTCTAGTTAAAAAAATTATGCTTTGAAACTACAATAAAATTGTCTAAAACTTTGTTAATGTAAGTAAAGAGATAAAGAGGTAGAATTTCATAATATTTTATGAATATCCCGATACAAATATATATTTTAATTTTGCTAATTACTACGTCCCTTTAATGCAACATGATTTCATTGTCCCTTGAAAGTAGTTATAAACATACTCCACTGCATATGTTTAATTTAAAGTAATTTTAAATTTAAGTAATATTTTTTATCACCATATAAATGGGTCTAGTTACTACTTGATTTACACCAACTAATTGCATGAACTATTAAAAATAATATTAACAACTCAAGATTTAAGTAGGAATAATGGCCGGTCCTCATGTACAATTATTTACTGCGGAACTGCGGAGATGCGTAACTGCGAATCTCCGCAATTTTCAAACTACCGTCCAAATGCAAATGTCAAAAATAGTAGATGCGGATAACCTAGAAATTTGTACCGGTTTCTTTTCGAGTATTTTCATTGTGGTATTTCAAATAATTATCTATTAATCTTTATGTGAAATATATTTACAATGGAAAACTTTGATGAAGATACAGCTTTCTTGGCTCTTGCTGTTTCAGTGAAACAATACAGAGACTGTGCTTTGAGGTATAAAAAATGTTACCGTGAAAGATTGATAAAAATGTATAAGATATACAATTCTATTCTGGAGTTTCAAAAAAAACATAAAAAAATGTGGGTGAGAGATATTTTCTTGGCTGATAATTAATTATAGAGACGAAATAGATAAAAAACAAACTAATCAAACACGTTTTCAGAATATAAACAAATACAAATGGCCGATAAATGTCACACGAGCACAAAAGTAAACACCGGAATACGGAAAAAGTTGAACCTAGTCAACTTTTATCTGGAACGCATGCGGATCTGTCACTTTTTCAAAATGGCTGCTGTGCGTCCAATATTTTTTCGATATTGTGATCACGTGATTCTGCATCTCCGCAGTTCCGCACTAAATTATTGTACATGAGGACCGGCCATAAGAATCATTATTCTTTTTTTTAAACGAATGATTAACAAAACAAATTGTAGTTTCTAAAGAACCAAATTTTCACTGCTCAGTGTGTGTGCTAGAAAAATAAATGTTTTTGCTGCACTCCAAGGACATTAACGATCGTGATTTTTAAATTGGACCAGACCGTCTAATGTGACTGTGTCTTCTAGTTCTTATAATACATGTACTAGATGTAAAGTTAAGAAAAAAGCTTACTTACTACATTATAAAAATCTAATTGTGCTAAATCATAATTTGCTTGTTTTAAATGTATATTTCCTCTACTAATTCTGGCAGCAGTAAAGTCTGGTTTCAATTCTAATACTCGATCTAAATCACTTAAAGCATTTTTAGCTTTACCTAAAGCTAAATATACAGTTCCTCTCTTAAAATAAGTGAGGTAATTGTTAGGATCACCCTCTAAAACAGAAATATTATTTAGTTTAGAGATAAAAGTTAATTTGAGTTCATACCAACTGCAGAATGATAATGACTTAATGCATCTCCCAACTGGCCCTTCGCTAAATATTGTTTACCTAATTCTAAATGCCTTTCAATTTCTGCCTGAGTTGCACATTCTGATACTAAAAAATTATAAAAATTGATTTAAAAATATAGCAATAAAATATATAGGTTATCTTACCTTCCAATATTAATTCTAAAACTAATACAAATAAATAAGGCGTTAATTTTAAACAAGTGTTTTTATGTAAAAATTCCATACCATTTAAAAATTTAATTTTGTTAAACATTTTTTCTATTAACAACATATACTTATAAATAAAATCATTATGACAAAACAGAATTCCAAATATTTCACATATACCCTTCGTGGCTCGTGGTCCAATTTGATTGGTACAACTCAACACAGATAGCCTATGATTGCGCACGTTAATGCGCGGTGAAAACTATTGCATTGGGATTGGATATCAAAAAGAATAATTTAGCGCAAAGCACAGTTTCATTTTCGTCAAAAAGTGTAGGGATATTCTTATACATACGAATTCTAATCTAAATCCTATCCTTCCTCAAGGTCGCGAAAGTATTTAACGATCTTGAACCTACTGGCCTATATTCTGTTTTCATAGATTAACTGCTTTCCAATTGACAAAAAAATGTACTTCGGAAGCACTTCAGATTTACTTTTCGCATTCCAATAAGCTAGAACAGTTTTAGTCTTTTTAGTGTAGTGTGTATTTGGTTGGGTCCGGAGGCTTTTGTCTGTGAGGCTTCTCTGTTTTTTAGGTATCGTATTTTGAGTTCTTCGTCTGCGGTTGCCGGCACAAAACATGTTGCCGGGTTGACAATGTCATTGTCAGGCTCTCTGTCAAAACGTCGGGCCGCACGCTCGGTCGCCGTTTCGAATTACTCGGGCCAAGGATATTTATTATAAATATCCTTGTACTCGGGCAGCTGGGGCTCCACCCCCCTGCTGCCGTGGATTGGGGTAATTCTGTGTCGGGTGAGCAGTCGCAGGGCTGTCTCCGTTTTCCAGAGGCTGCTGTCAGTGTCTTGCGCCTTGCGGATCTAGCGACTCCAACTGTTTGGCCCAGTTTTCCTGAGCCAGCACACCCAGAGCCGCCTTCACACACAAAACATATCTTCACCCATCTGTTTAGCATGATACAACCACATACTTCTATCCTATACTAATCATTTTGCGATTGACTTGAAGCCGAAAAGTGGGGCGACGGACCAGCGTATTCATACGCATGCGCTTCCTTTATGGGTTTTGATTGGTTGAAAGGAACCAAGAACGGTAAACAGTAAGAAAGCCAAGCTAACCTAAAAATATTCTCATTATGTTTTGTGTTGATGTGTTGTGTTAGTCCTTTGGTGTATTTTCTCTAATAATTGCGACTATTATCCTGTATATATTTTAACCAAAAACTTTATTAAACTTTGTTTGTTGTTAGTTATTAGTATTAGAGATATGGGTAGACTTTGTGCCTTATGTCGTTCAAAGAAAAGCGAAGAAATTTAGCTCCACGGGTAAGTACATTATATTTTTATTATTATTCAATATTGTACACTGAACTGGTTTATTATGCAAAAATCGATATATATGTTTGATAGATATTATATTTATGCGTACTTTTATAGTATATATTCATGGGTATTGTATTGCTTAAGCCATGCTCTTGTAATTAAATTTTCGTTCTTTTGACAAATTACTGAAATGCTGTCGATAAAAATACATTGTTAGGTAGTTCAGCAACTTNACATTAAAACTAAAAAAATGTATGTTTAATTTAATAATAAATGAAATAATATAGTTTTGAAAACGGACGTCTCTTTCGTTTTTACGCCGCTCTGTTGTAAAATTATTAAAATGCTAGTTACGGTAGTTCGTGTTTTTAGGGACAAATTGTGTGTATAGTTTTAAAGCTTCGTTTTTTTATTTACACTTGTTAAATAAATGCTGTAATTATGTATTATTTAAATATTTGTGATTTAAGGCAAAAACATGTTTACAAATTTTAATTAGCCGTATTTTCCATGCTCATACGTGTGTGAATAATGGAACAATGTGGGCGTTTACTAGCCACATGACGTCATGCGCAGAGTCGAACGAAAATGAGACCTCTTAGTATCATATCTTATAAGTTTATTGTATCATGTCTGTTTAGTATGTTTAAGTCGTGTGTGTGTGTTGGGGGAGGCGGGTGCGCGTGAAAAGTCGTTTAAGGTGTCGTCTGTCCCGTCCATCAAGTCATTTGTCTCGATGACCTTAGGTGCAACGTTACTCCCAGAAACTCACCCCCAGGGCGCGAGTGGCACCGCAACACGTGCCCGCGACGGTGACTACGTACTCCTCGTGGGATTAGACAAACCGGATAAGAAAGAAGCTAGAAAACAAGAAGAGCGCCAGAAAAGGCCCCCTGCCGGCGGGGGTCTGTCAGGGCAAGTACCGTCCATGTTTGTGGTCGGAGTCAACGACCACCAGGGCTAAGCTCTACCCGTTACTCAAGGAGAGCAACACTCTAAGGAATAAGCGAACGCTAATCAAGGTGGTACTTCAACCGCAGCTAACATACGCCTCCGCGGCGTGGGGTTACGCGGTAAAACGCCACATTAAATCACTCCTGGCAGTGGACGCGGCTGCAAGACACGACAACCACTTCCTTAGACAAGCCGTTGACTACGTATCTAACGTGACAGACACATACAGACGACCTATTTAGTCCTGTCCCTCCTGCCCCCTACCCGCGGGAGCTAGACAAACCGCGTCGTTATTTTTGGCGTTAAACGTGGTCTCGATAATTTGTGACCGAGGGGGACTATCCCTCTTTATCCTGCCTTATCTCTGTAGGTCTGGGCAGCCTCGTGAAGGTGGGTCCCGTCCATCATCTACCCCGGCCACAAGCATGACCGATGTAGGAGCTTTGCGGGACCTCCTCTTGCCCTAAGCCGGCGAAGAAAGAAAAATCAAGACTTGAAGAGCGCCACAAAAGGAGGAGGTCTCGCAAAGCGCCTACACCGGTCATATTTGTTATCGGAGTAGACGATGGACGGGGCCCACCTTCACGAGGCTGCCCAGGCCTACAAAGATAAGGCAGGACAAAGAGGGATAGTCCCCCCTCGGTCCCAAACTATCGAGTCCACGCTTCAGTTCAGAGCGAACAGCCGAGCTGAGAGGACGTGTTTGTTTGTGAGGTGAAGTGCATTGCAACGAGCAAGATCTACCTGCCCTTATTACNATTTTTTTATGAGAAATAGGTATTCAGTTCACTTCACTTGAAAAAATAGTTATAGGTACATACTTTAATACCTCCAATATAAACAGAAACTCTGTGGAATAGTGTAGTTTAATAAATATGTAAATAAATGAAAGTAATAAAGAAATAAATAGAATAGGTATAGTAGAACAGGAAAAAAATTAAAAAATCATAAAATAAAATTAAGTATTTCTTTTTATTAATTTGAGCTTCCATCATGATACAACCATACAGAGATATGATATTGCGCATGCACGGCGCCATCTTGGCTTCCTTGCTGACGTCATGTGGTAAGTCAAAAAGTAAACAAACGGATCGTGGCCATATTCTCATAGTGTTGTGTGCGTTTTTCCAAGTTTTTTTTATTGTTCCTGCCTGTATTTCTAATTTAATTCGTTGTGTGAGATTGTGCTTCATTGAGCAGAAAAAGGAAATTAAAGAAAATTGTTAAATAGAAGTTTAATCACCGCCTATCGTTTAAATATATCTCCACAAAAACTGTTGCGCTTGGGTACTGAACTGTTAATTTTTATGAAAGCCTACCCCATGACAACAAATAATAATGTTTAAAATAAGTAATACTGTTTTTATTTAGTTTTGTATTTATATTTTTAGCTCGTTACTAAAATTAAGGGCTACAGTGTTAAAATTTTTGTTTTATACTTTATGTAAGAAATCGAATGCCTTTTTATAAATAAAAATCACTTTGAAAAAAATGTGTATTTGCTTCTTATCTCTGTCACAAAGGAATAATTTTGGAATCACGAAGTGGCGTATCTGACTTTGAACATAAGTAATAATCTATGCAAATATTACATAATACGTCAAAATATATTAAAACTAAAAAAATGTATGTTTAATTTAATACTAAATGAAATAATATAGTTTTGAAAACGGACGTCTCTTTCGTTTTTACGCTGCTCTCTTGTAAAATTATTAAAATGCTAGTTACCGTAGTTCGTGTTTTTAGGGACAAATTGTGTGTATAGTTTTAAAGCTTCGTTTTTTTATTTACACCTGTTAAATAAATGCTGTAATTATGTATTATTTAAATATTTGTGATTTACGGCAAAAACATGTTTACAAATTTTAATTAGCCGTATTTTCCATGCTCATACGTGTATGAATGATGGAACAACGTGGGCGTTTACTAGCCACATGACGTCATGCGCAGAGTTGAACGAAAATGAGACCTCTTAGTATCATATCTTATTAGTTTATTGTATCATGAGCTTCCATTATATATTGTGGATCCATACATCTTTTTCCCTGTGAAATATTTTTGTATATTATTTCTGGTAGTAGGTATACAATTTTTATAAAATTGTTCCAAATTTGTTGCCATTGATTTTTTCCGTAATTCTTCATCTTTCTTAATTTGCTCTACATAGAGCGGGTTGTTTTCACCACTATAGGTATATTACGAAATAACATATAGACTTCTTCCGGTTATATTTAACTGTCTCTGTATCTGAAAGTAAGAAAAGAATTTTACCAGATAATATTTGTTATAAACAGATAATTATACATTTTTACCTATTATGCTTTTGATTTACCGTAATGTAGTCATATATAGGGTGCCACAATAGTGCGATAAAGTTTAGTATAACTGCCTGTAGTAGTGATACGAAAAAAGTTACTTGCTCGGATTCACATTTTATTATTATTTCCATTATTCATTATTTTCAGACCGAATTAAACGTTCAGAAAATCTTGTTTTTGGCCTGAAGATTTTGCCCTATACAACTATAACTGAAAATAATTATAAACTTTGTCACACTATTGGAACAGCCTGTATGTGCATTGCAACGACAATATGTCATATTTATATTACGGCTAAGTAAGCGGAAAGTCCATTGTCGCATATGTAATTTTTATTTTCAAATAATCAAATACAATACCTACATATTTATTTTAATATCTATTATTTACTTGAATTTAGTACTAAGTACAACTATGCCTAGCAAATTGTAATACTTACTCTGTTAATGTTTTTTCCTTCA